GCAGGAATGAAAAGGGAAGATGGTACAAGCAGCCAGTACAGTCACCACCTTGGCTACTGACCCAAACCCACTCTTCTGCTAAGAAAAGATGAGTACAGGGAACTGACTTCACACTGATACAAAGGCTAGTGGGTCTTAGTGGGCCCTATGGGGTTGCAGCCAATAGGATTCACTTCCCCTCAGCTTGAGGAGAAGCACCCCAGAACAGAGGAGAATGTAATTGGGAAGAATAGAAGAGACCCTATGAATGGGAGGCTTTGAGGTGGAGGAAGTACACTGGTTGAGTCATTAGCATGGGAGACAATATTCCCCCCTCCTGAACACCAAAGGTGCTTAGGAGGGAGAGGGAGAGGCGGGGGGTTCTGAAGGCCAGTCCAGACGAATGCCCTGGACAGATGCCAGGCTTGTGATGACTTTGGTTGAGGGGGCAGAGACAGGTTGTGCCAGCCACAGTTATGGTAGCCTGGGCAAGTGTCAGATAAGAATCGTGGCTGGACGCACAGAGGAAGGAATGGCGTTTCACGTTGGTGACTTGGAGGGTTTCAGTTTTTGCTCTTTGAGGCTCGATTTCCTCATCTGTAAAATTCAAATCAAAATACGTGTCTGGTGGCGTGAGGATGGAAACAAGGTGCGCTAAGCACCTAGCGCCATGTCTGTCACCCAGTAACTGCTCAATAAATGCTAGCCAGCTGTAGTAGCGGTAGTCCTGGTGCTGGTGGTAGTATTAGTTGAAATAGCAATAGCTAAAGTAGAAAAAGGAATGTTTTGTGGGTTTTCTAGCTATTTTAAATATGGATACTTTCAGAAACCAGAGGGTTTTAGGCTACAGCAAAGGAGATTTAAGTAAGCTTTAAGGAAGAACCTACTAGCAGTCGGCATATAAATGGGAAAGCCCTTGGAGATACTTCAGAAACAGGCTTTCAGGTGGGCAGGAGTTGAGGCCAAGAGAAGGGATGGGCTTCAGACAGCCGCATCTTGCAGCCAGAACCGAAGGCAGCAGAACCAGTTTGGCTACAAGGAGGCTTCTGTCAACCGCCCTGCAGTTTACCTGCAAAATGAACTCGAAGCTTCCAAAGATCAAATTCCACATGCTCTGGGCAAAAGGCAACTTCCTATTTCAAGGGTTAGGGCATACAGCACTGTTAAAACTTCCCTCTGTCCCTTGCCCTGTCCCAGCCCCTGGCTCTCCCTTCTATAGCTCCCCCGCCAAAAAGGTGCCATGAAAACAAAACCCACCCTGGCTCTTCAGATTCCCCCTTGATACCCACGGGCTTACATTTCAGGGTCAGTGTGCTGAAAACAAATGGTCACCTTGCTTTTGCCGAGACCCCAACTATTTAAAAAATGGCTGTGGCAGGGCCAGACCTCAGACTTAGCCCACTGTCCCCACCACCCCTGGCCTATGGCCCAGATTCCCAGAGCTGCAGCTCTGCCAGGCCCAGCAGGCGCTGTAGAGGGGGGGAGTGCTGGGCACGGGGGGCATGAGGGACAGTGCAGCAGGCAAGGGATGTAGTTAGTGCCTGAGTTGGGGTGTGTGGCCTGGATGCTGTCGTCGGTGGCAAGCTTGTAGCAGTTGTTGGTATACCTGGTGTGCAGTATCTGGGAAGATGCGGCTATTTTAAGTTTGTATGTGTGGCGTGAGGTCATTGCAGTGTCTGTATTGGGTAATGGTTGTAGATACGTATGTATGGGTGCATATGCACGTGTGTTATGTGTGGGTGGAGGGAAAGTTTGAGTACAAATATAGGAGTGTGTCTGTGTGTGCAAAATGTCTATGGGTGTTGAGCGGAGACCCATTATTTATGAGTACAGATGATGTTTGGGAAGCTGTTGACGTGAGCGTACAATACATGGGTGGAGGTAGTGCTTATGAATGCACATATTTACATGTGATAGGCTTTCTTTGCAGTATGAGGAATGATAAAGAGTATTTGTGTATATGTCGCGCACAGTGTATGTACTGCACATTTGTGAACACACACCTGTGTGTGCAGGATGGAGAGAGCACAGCCTCATGAATGTGAGTACATGTGACCGATTATGCCTGCAGATGTGGTAGCACTTGTGAACACACAACTGTAATAGCACATCTGTCCAATGCCTATCCACTGCATATGTGAATTTATTTTGATGGATATATTCCTAATGTGTTTAGTATTTTTCTGACTTCTTAAAGAGGTTATATTTAGCAATCAATCTTTCTTGCTCGCGCTCATTTAGTATCATTATAAACGTCCTTATTTTGCTGACCTCTGTGGAAGGGATGCACTTGGGGGCTGTAATCCATACAGATCTGTTTGTAGCCCTGCTAAATGCTACCAAACTGTTACACTTTTTTTTGGTAATAGATCTTTATTAGAGTATAATTGCTTCACAATACTGTGTTAATTTGTGTTGCACAACAAAGTGAATCAGCCATATGCATACATATATCCCCATATCTCCTCCCTCTTGCATCTCCCTCCCACCGTCCCTATCCCACCCCTCTAGGTGGTCACAAAGCACCGAGCTGATCTCCCTGTGCTATGCGGCTGCTTCCCACTAGCTAACTATTTTACATTTGGTAGTGTATATATGTCCATGCCACTCTCAGTTCGCCCCAGCTTCCCCCTCCCACCCCGTGTCCTCAAGTCCGTTCTCTATGTCTATGTCTTTATTCCTGCCCTGCCACTAGGTTCGTCAGTACCAGTTTTTGTTTGTTTGTTTTTTAGATTTCATTTATATGCGTTAGCATACAGTATTTGGTTTTCTCTTTCTGTCTTCACTCTGTATGACAGACTCTAGGTCCATCCACCTCATTACAAATGACTCAATTTAATTTCTTTTTATGGCTAGTATTCCACTGTATATATGTGCCACATCTTCTTTATCCATTTGTCTGTTGATGGACACTTAGGTTGCTTCCATGTCCTGGCTATTGTAAACAGTGCTGCAATGAACATTGTGGTACATGTCTCTTTTTGAATTATGTTTTTCTCAGGGTATATGCCCAGTAGTGGGATTGCTGGGTCGTATGGTAATTCTATTTTTAGTTTTTTAAGGAACCTCCATACTGTTCTCCGTAGTGGCTGTATCAGTTTACATTCCCACCAACAGTGCAGGAGGGTTCCCTTTTCACCACACCCTTTCCAGGATTTATTGTTTCTAGATTTTTTGATAATGGCCATTCTGACCAGTGTGAGGTGATACCTCATTGTAGTTTGGGGTTTTTTAAATAAATTTTATTTATTTTATTTATTTATTTTTGGCTGCGTTGGGTCTTCGTTGCTGTGCATGGGCTTTCTCCAGTTACTGTGAGCAGCGGCCGCTCTTTGTTGCGGTGCGTGGGCTTCTCGTTGCTGTGGCTTCTCTTGTTGCAGAGCATGGGCTCTAGGCGCATGGGCTTCAGTAGTTGTGGTGCACGGGCTTAGTTGCTCTGCGACATGTGGGATCTTCCCGGACCAGGGCTTGAACCCGTGTCCCCTGGATTGGCAGGTGGATTCTTAACCACTGCGCCACCAGGGAAGCCCCCTCATTGTAGTTTTGATTTGCATTTGTCTAATAATTAGTGATGTTGAGCATCTTTTCATGTGCCTCTTGGCCATCTGTATGTCTTCTTTGGAGAAATGTTTTAAAGTTATTTTGTCTACTTTTTACAGAAGATTTTCTCTCTTCAGTTGTGCCTTATATAGATGTCAGTGGGCCTCTCAATTCCTCTCTCTCTCTCTCCTGATTTTCCTGTTTCTAATCTCTCATGGGCTAGAAACTCAGCAAGTCAACATATATCAGAATTGTGTATAAATAAGTGTAACTGGACTCCAAGGAGCTCTTCAATGAATAAATTGTAAGAGCTTCACTGCATGTACGTTGTAACATCTATTTGGCTTCCTTGAGATCTTCCTTGCTTAGGTTTTGATTTTTTGACTCTTTTAAAAGTTGAAGTTGCCAGACAACTAACCATTATCTGTGATACGGACATGCACACGAATGTGTGTTTTGAAAGCATTTGTGTATGTATTTGTATGGCAAGTTACAAGTGTGTTGGGTCATGTGCAAGGCACAGGTTCAGAAGTGCCCATACACACACATCTGAGTTATGTGTGCTGAGTAGAAAGGTTTCGTATTGCTGGATCCCACGCACAGACTGTGGATCACTTCCTGTCGGGGAGAGCCCTGCGTGTCTTATATATGTATGTGGGCGTGTGTAGATATGCGTGGGGCTGCATTGGCCCTTTCTCTTGTGCAGAGGCCAGGGAAGGTGATGAGGTCCAGGGTAGGGTGGGAGCAAGAGACTGGGAAGTTCAATGCCCGGATCCCTCTCTTGTGGGAAACACAGTGTGACCCTGGCTGAGGTCTGGTTCTTCTCTGAGCCTGAGTGAGGATGTTCTCTCACAGCTGCACCAAGGGTGCACAAGGGTCCGGAGACGGTGCAGAGCTTGTTCCTAACAATACGACTCCCCTTTCCTTGTCCTTCATTTTGCTGTTCTCAACATGAACTAATAATGATAATAGAGTAAAATCTCGTTAATTCGAATGTCAGCACTTTCAGGCCTTTAATGATCTGTTTAGGGGTGGATAGGAATTTGCCTTTCCTGGATTGATGAAAAGAGATATTAAGTGACTGTGGGGAATCGTTTCTGAATCCTCCAGCCTAAGTTAACCAACTGGCTTGAAGCCTGTCAGAAACCTCTGTTTGCATGGAACTGATAAACACGGTGATCACTTGGATTGAGTCATTGAATGAGGGCCTGATGCTTTGGATTAGTGTGATTTTACTGCACTATTAATCATTATCACTAGCGATATCACTGCCTATGAGGTACCATCCCTCATTCTGTTCCACAGTCGTGGAAAGATACGTGTATCTCCCGGTTGCAGGGATGGAAGCGGAGCCCTGGGCTCAGAGGGGCTGGGCCTCGCCCACAGTCACACTGGTTCTCAGCAGAGCCCGGACTGGGCCAGGGCTCCTCTGGGGCCCCATGCTCTCCTGCATGGCGGCCCTGGAACCAGACCAGCTCTGCCTCAGCTTGAACAAGTTCCCAAGCTCAGCTCTCCTGCTTGCCTCCTGCCTTTTGCTCCCCGCACCGCACGGAGCGGGGCCTCGCTTGCTCTGGGCGCCCAACCTCCCTCCTCCCATCCCCGGCCGCCCCTATTCACTTCCCTGTTCATTTCTGTTTCCAGTGCAATGTGCCACCCCAAGCCCTCCCACCTCCCCTGCCTCCCCGGCTCCACCAGCCAACCCCCTATCGTCTGAATCCCCACGGGGCGCCGACAGCAGCCATGCCATGCGGGTCTGAGCTCTGACGTAAGCACTTTTCTACTGTATTTCATCCAGCCCAGGGAACAGGGACCCCTCCCCTCACCCCCACTGAGCCATCTGCACCGCCTTGTTCCATCCGGCAATGCTTCTCCCCTCACCCCAGCGCCCCTTGTCGCTCCTTCCCTTCCATCCATCTGCTTGAGCCCGCAAGCGTCCCCACGCAGTGCCGGGCTAGAGCCCCCTGGCAGGGCCGCTTCTTGGATGCTGCAGTGCCAGTGGCTTTGCTTCTCCAGAAGCAGACGGGAACAGAGCTGAGGCCTCTCCTGTCCGCTGTCTGAGGGACTCTGCCCTGACTCCCACCCCTGCACTTCCTGTCGGCCAAGAAGCCGGCCATCTGTTGAGATACACAGCAGTCCTGCCTCAGAAGCTGCTTGTCCCAGATCTTATTTCTCCCAGATCACTCCCAGATCTTACTGTAAATTAAAATAGCACTGGACGATTCTAGGCAAAGGCTGTGTCCCATCTTTCCCCCTAGCACGCAGCTGCTCAATATCAGGAAGTGAACAAGAATTGACTTCTACTCATTTGTTCCCCTCTCTCAGGGTTGAGGGGGTGGGCGGGTTTCCACAGGTTTTTGCAAGGCAAGACTTCTCTCTGGGGAGGGTGGGCTGGAGGGTCTGCCCCTCTGTGCAGCGCTTTTCTCACCCGTGTCTCTCTCCTCCAGTGCAAGCCCTGGCTGAGGCCAACGCCGTGAAGCTCCACAGAACCACGTTCTGAAGCCTGCCTCTGCCCATCCTGGCCCCCTGGCCCCCCGCCCCTGTGCTCCCATGGGAATGCCACAGAGAGCCAGGCTGGGGGCCGGGCTTCTGCCGAGAGGAGCACAGATGCCTCGGTGCCCACATACCCACGGCACCCGGCCCTGAAGTCCTTGCTGCTCAGACAGTGGTCCTAGGCCAGGGCGTGAGATGGTGGGGCGAGGAGCGCCATCCTATCTGATGCCCACGGCACAGGGAGCCTAGGTCTGGCTCTAGCTGGGGTTGTGATGGCCCTACTGGAACACTCCCTGATGGAGAAGATGCCCTGGTGGGGAATGCGCCCTGGGCTATCTTAGGTTAGGACTCCTCTCTTGACACCGAGAACAGCACCCACCATCACCCCCTTCCCCCATCACCCCCGCCGTCCTGCCCCAGTGGTGCCCAGGGTCTTGGCACATCTCTGCTTATGGGTACTCCTTTGGGGTCCAGTGGAGACTGACCACCCTGCCTGAGCCAAAGACAAGATGATGAGAGATGGGGAGAGGCTCCTCGGCTCCCAGAAGACAGTGCTGGCTGTGGATAGAGAGAAGCGGGTCTGTGCAGTGTCTGAGGGCAGGTTGAGAAGGGTAGCAGAGAGAGAGGGAGAGGTCTCAGGACAGTGGGAGGAAAGGGAAGCAGCAGGACTCATGCGCAAGTAGGAGGAGGAGGACGGAGATGAGAAGGGGTAAGGGATTGGTTTCCCCAGGGTGGAACCTTAGGTTAGTGCCAAGTACAGTGTCAGCTGTTGGCTCTGCTTCTCCCACCTCGTCCCCAGGATCAGCGGGGCTGCCAGACCGAGGACCTGCCATGGAGCACACTGCTGTGGGTATGGAGGTGTGAGCTGAGGGGCCGGGCAGCAGCAGTCTGGGAGATGGCTCTTTCTAGGTCTGGGCCTGGTTCTGGGGTCAGGAGCAGAGAGAAGGACCTGTCTTACGGAGGGTGTGGTCAGCCTTGGGGCCTTTCCTAAACATTTCTGTGACATTATCTTGTCTCCCTTCCCCCTGAAATGTGCTGTGGGCCAGCTGAGCGTGTGCCCTGGAAAGAGGGAATGTGGCCTTAATCTGGTAGGCCAGATTCTGGGGCCCTACTCTGCAACCCAGGCATTCCAGGCATCCCAGATGAGGACAAGTTGAGGTTGTATGGAAGATCTCCCTTCTAGCTTGGCTCACTCACAACCCACCTACCCAGGGAGCCAGTAGTGGAGAGACAGAAGCAAAGCCCATTCTCCCTATGCTCCACCCACCTTCAGATGAGTGTAGCCAGAGAGGATGGAGGAGAGAGAGTGAAGCTGAAAAACCTTGGCCCCTAGGCCTTCTCTTTGCCGGAGTTGCTGCCCAGAGACTTCAGTCTGACCTCCAGCGGCCCCAAGAATGATTACTTCATCTTCCAACAATTCCTCTCCACTCCTTCATGGCTGGGACAGTTATGGTTCATATGCAAGTAAAGTTGACAATTCACTCAACAAATATTTATTGAGCACCTTTTATGTACCAGGCACTGTTCTAGGTGCTTAGGATATTCTCATGCTTCTGAGGGTTTACAGCCGGGATTCCACTTACCTTCACTTCTAGCAGGTTTTTTGAACATGACCCTTGGCTGCAGTTCCCATCTTCAGCACAGCTCAAGCACCCCAAACCTGTCCTCCCCCCCACCCCCCCGCACAGACTGGCAGGTGGGATTGGCTCCCAGGTAACCGTCTCTCCCTTCTCCATCTTCTCCCACACCTTATCCATCCATAAGAAACAGAGTTTTCAGGGCCTTCCATGCCTTCCCCTTTCTTTGTCTGTGTCTCCTTTTTTTTTTTAAGTGATGTTTTTAGAAATACATGTAAAATACCAAGGATTAATGTCTGCACCTCTCTCTCACCTCTTATTTCATAAAGCTGGCTCTTTATGTGGCTTTACATGCCTTAATATATGTTTTATGAAGATTATGCATATTATAGATGTATATGTAATATATATATATATATTTGTTTGGACGTCTGATCCTTTACTAGAACTCCTGCCCAGGCCCATTTTCTCTCCTTTACTTTCCACATCATTCCTAGCATACTGCGGCCATACCCCATGCCTTTTGATCCAAAGAAGGGGAGAGGAAAGACTTATTTTAAGACAGATCTATTTTACGCTTTTGTTATAAAAGCAAATCTATTTTCAAAATGTGCAATGCCTGAATGGAATTGGCAAATGATGTGAGGAGACTGGGACGGCTGCCTCTAGGTCCAACCCTCCACCCTTCCCTCCTCCTCGGCAGCTTCCTTCCTCCCATTCCCCAGTCTGCAAAGGGCTGGTCCCCAGAGCTCACCCGGAGAGGATCTTGCCAGGGCAGGACATTCTCTTGCAAGTCCTGGTCTAAGGATTTGATTACACTGTCAACTTTTGATGACCCTCTAGGGTTATTTGGTGTGAACCCTCTTCGAGGAAATGTTTACAGTTGTGTGCACAAAAGTACAGCCTTGCAGGCACACACACCCCAGATGTGCTCCTGGACCACCTCCTTGATCACCCTGCTGGAAAGGGCAGCCTACGCCAAACAACACTGAGAATGTCAGTCTGTTCTTTGATGGACCTAGAATATGGTGCAACGGCCAAAGGAAACGGTTTGGCATCACGGGTCCTTCGGAGCAGATACATTCAAGTTCCTTGGACTTCTCACACTCCTTTTCACTTGATCCCTCACTGGCCTGGGTGAAACCTATGGCATCTGTCTCCCTCTGTGACCTTTCTTCTGGGGGCCATTGTTAAGGGGATGGTACCCCAGTCTGGCATCCAGACTGCGAAGTCAGCCCAGAGGATCCCACGGACAAGGTACATCTCAGACTTGCCAAGGACTTTCTTGCTGCTGGGGCCCTGAACTAAGCCAGCTCAGCCTTCCAAACTGCTTATCGACTATTGAAGTGGGCAAGGGGCTCTCGCCTTGCAAGAATTTGGGCAGAATGGATGTCTTTTGTCCAGCTCTGGAATCAAGGGTTTTGGAATCTAGCACAGAGCTCCTGGCCAGCATTTGAAGCCTGGCTTCCCACTTTGACATTTGCTGGCACCCTATTCCCAGCCTAAAGCAGCTTGCTATGAATGAAGGGGGCCTAGATGGAGACCCACGGGGAAGTAACCGACCTGGTGACAGCCTTGGTTACTAATCTAGAGCCTTCCCAATTAGCACATTACCTCCCTCATCAATAACCAAGAAGCTATAATCAAATACTAACACTGTCACTTTAGAGTTTTTCTGAGGTTGCAAGCTGAGGTGCGCACTTGCTCACCTTCCTTGGTGAGAGGGATCCTCTTGGAGCAGGGCTGACTATAGCAAGACAGAATTAATTCCTTTCCCTTTAGGTACCCCCCGACAACCTGGCAGCTCTTAAAACTAAGGAAAATATGAAATATACATATATATATATACACACACATATATCTATTTATGCACATATTGGGGCCAATTTGATTTGCTAGTATTAGACAATAAACCATACAAGGAAATTTATGACTCAGTGTCTTTATTTAGTATAAAAGTGACCTTAGAAGAAGAGTTAAGTTTAGATAAACAGAGGGCATCTCTGTCAGGGGACCAAACAGCCGTACCAGCCCCCTAGTATCTTTCTAGCCAATGAGCCCCTCCCCAGGGAGGGGCCATCCTGACTGACAGGCGAGAGCTTGCTTCCCTCTCAGCAGCATTCTTTTTAGATATAGGTACTGAAGCACCCAGTGAGTTCTGCATTTGTATCTTGCAAGTTTGTATAAACCCAATGCAGGGAATAAATGGTTTGTACAAGTGGTGTGTCTCTGGCACTCTGTGTCCGTGTCTGCCTGTGGCTGGCCTTGGGGTCCATGAGTGTTTACGTGCTTGGCAGAAAAGCGGGGGTGGGGGGTATCTGGGGCCATCCTTCCCTGACTAAGAGAACTGGGTTCAGAGCATATGCACCACCCATTCCCCCCCATGCCTTGGGCTGTACATCTCAGCCTCCCCAGACAGGGATCCTGGAGTTCTCAGAAGCGTGCCACCTCCCCATGAACTAGGGAATGATGGTTTGTTGTCGACACCACTGTCATCTTTTTGATCCAAGTGATCCCAGATCAAGGTTTGTCCCAAGGTCCTGTACAATGGAAGTATCAGAGTCTTCAGGCTCTGGAAGCTTCCACTGAAGGTGGGGGTGGGGAGGTGGTATCAGAAAGGTTGCCCAAATTCTTTTCATCTAGCCTCAGTGTTCTGGGGTCATTTCTCTTGGCAGGTACTCAGTGGTTATCCCTTATTGACACTCAGTGTGAAGGACTTTACCAGAGCTGCTCAATTTGAAATGTTTGTGAGGAGCGAGAGTCAAGAAGCCCTGTGAATTCTATGGGCCGGAGTGTGGAGAGAGGACGTGAGCCCAGGACAGCGGCAGGCTTCCCTGGGCTTCTGCAGGATGTCTGGGAGAGGAGGAGGCATTAATGGTTCAAGAAAGGATACAGGAAGGCAAGCTTCTTATACTTCTTGATTAGCCTCAGTCTGGTTCTAATGTGGCTGATTTTGAATTCTGGACACCTCTTCTCATCCCTAAAAGGCTAGTGGAGTATTTTGTATCTATCATCTATCTATCTATACTTTTAAAAATAAGTAAAATGACTGGATTTTGGATTTTGTAACATCCCCGGGAGAGCTATAAACCTTGATGTCCTTTGTGAAGCAGGGAGAATTGGGACCAGATACAGGCTCAAGACAGACCTTTAGAGCTGGAGGAGGTATACCGGAGAAATTGTCAATTTCCAGGACCTGGCTCTCTGTCCGCAGCTCCCCCTCCAGGCCAAAGCCATTGACCTGGAGAGGAGGTGGAATGTGAGAACACAGGGCACTGCTGGGCTCTTCTTTCCAAGCATGATGCTCACAGGTCCCTGGCCGCTCCACCCTCTGGCCCAGATCAGCCCTTCAATCAAGCCAGGCTGGGGTTGCAAAAGGGGGCAGTAGTCAGGAACTATAAATGAAAAAGCAACTAGCAGATTGCCCTTTAAGGAGTAGTGCTCTGTAACTGTGTGGTCGTATATTTATTCTTGAAGAGAAGCATGCTAGGGTCAGGCGGCAGCCAGGCTTCAGACCCTGCTGCTGACAGGGAACGGGGACCATGCCACATGCCCCCTTATCTCTAAGCCTCCAGTGCAGAACTGGCTCGCCCCACTGCTGAGATCGATGGAGGAAAGGAGATGCCGTGCTCGACTCCTGGCCCCGCTCCTTGCTAGCTGCATGAAGATTTGGACAAGTCACTAAAATTCTTGAGTCTCAGCTTCCTCATCTGTGAAATGGGGATATTAACTGCCATCTTATGGAGCTCTCAAGAAAGTCAAATGAAAAAATGGATGAAAAACCCTTTGAAAACTCAAATTCATTTACAAGTGAGAGGAGATGGTGGTGACACTGTGTTGGCCCCTTGGCTGCCTTTAGGGACATGATGAGGGAAGAGGGAAAATGTTTCCCAACGTCTCCCCTCTGCTGGCTCCATAGCCTTCGCTGGAGGACGTCAGCAGGGGCCCTGTTGTTCAGCCATCTGCGGTGTCCTCCCCCTGCCCACTTCTATTCCTCCAGCCCCAGGGAGTAGCTGCACTATCTCAGCCCTTCCCCACGTTGATCAGGACAGGCTTTCCAGGGCCTACGTCCTCCTCCCTGGGGTTGCCCGCCATGAAGGAAGATGGGCTATAGACAAACCCCTTGGGGCCCAACTCTGGTGCCCAGTGCTGTAATCTGAAAATCAGGTGAAGAGGGCCCAGCTTCAGGAGGGTTCAGTTCTGAGCTGACAGGTGGGCTCCATTGTTAGGGGAGGTATTGTTAGCTGCTATTTTCTACTCCTGTGTGAGCAGTTTAAAACCACAATTAAGAGGAGATCAGAAGTCTTTCACATAACAGCATTTAACAGTGTAAGAATAATAGTAATATTAATAACACAGTAATTATTATAACTATACTAGAATAATAAGAACAATGGCTCGTTATTTACTATGAGCCAGGCACCTGGTTCTGTGCACTTCACGTGCGTTTACTCACTAATTCTCATTATATCTTTACGTGATAGGTACTATTATTATCAAAGGAACTGAGGCACAGAAAGGGTGAATAAAATATCTGTCTCATGGAGCTAGGATGAAGCCCAGGGCGCTCTGATTTTATAGCCTGAGCTCTTAACCTACCAGTTTCAACGGGGGTGATAACGCCCCCTAGGGGTGATTTTGGAAATTTTCAGGGGAGCTTAAGTTGTCTCAGGGCTAAGGGGGCAAAACTCTTACTGGCATTCAGTGGCTGCAGTGCACGGGGCAGCTTTCCAAAATAAATAATTGCTTTCTGTCCTGCACAACTTTAAAATGTACAAACGGACTAAACCCACTACCAGTATGTCAGTCATACTGGAATTCATAATAGTCCTAACAAGTTTTTATAAGCTAAGTTTTTTTTTTTAAATAAGTTCTATGAATAACTCAGTAAGTTAGGAGATGGTTATTATGGAGAAGGCTCTTAAGTGGAATAAAGACATTGTCTCAAAATTGTTGAATAATCTACTCCACGCACTGTCTACACAATGTATTCTAACATTGCAACTACTGTATATTTGGTTCCAGTGCAGTAGGGTCTTACTGAATAAGCAAAGAGGCCGACTGAAAACAGTTAACAGAGGAGCTCTGAGAGAACCAAACATCATTAGAGCAAAGATACTTGAAATGCAAGGGGTCTCCTTGGATCTCCTCAAGAAATGTTTTTAGAAATTATTTCATATTATTGCCTCCTTTATATTTTTTAAGTTTTTTTACAGCCCAAAGACGAACACCTATGTTGTAACAATTATACGTGGAAATGTTTGGGGGAATTGCGTGTTGTTTTTCTATGTTTCTCTGGCACTCTCCCGGGGGTCCACATTCAGTTTCTCTAAACGGCTTATCTCACCGCTTCTCTTTCAAATCCATCCTCTCCTCCCCATTGCCTATTGGAAATATATGATCTCCAAGGCCTTTTAAGGTCCCACAGACTGAATTTTGCCTCAGCACATGATGGCGTTTCAAAACACGGATCTGTGTGTCTGTGACATGTCGCCGCTACCCCATCCCATGGGGTAACATGGGGAGCTATTTAAACAACACACACAACAAACGCAGTTTTTGGTCGGTCTGTTTGTTTTTTGGCTGCGCAGCACGGCTGGCGGATCTCAGTTCCCTGACCAGGGATTGAATCCGGGCCATGGCAGTGAAAGCCCTGAACTCCCTCAAACTCAGTTTGTTTGCATTCACATGGTGTTTCCTCAATGTCTCCACCTTGCCATCTATAACTTGCTTTGCTATGTTATCTCTACTTCAGTGCCGTTTATTTCCCTCTTTTTTTATATGCAAGGACCTCTGGTCTGTTTTTATTTAGCTAACATTAGTTTTTATTCTAGTATTCACTCCCTACTGTTCTTTCATTTTCTTTTATGGAGAGAGGGGTTATTTGGGTTTTTTGGAGGGGTGGTGGTATATAAGGGTGGTCTATTTCTCTTAAGTTCAAACTTATTACAAGTAGGTGCAAGCAATCTGCCTACTTATGCCTTCTGTTAAGTCTTGCCTGAACACATATACTGAGAGATATTGTGTTTTATTATAATTTTTTCTTCTTTATTATAATTAGCTTCGAGGGTTTTTTTTTAATGATGTGTGTAGACTGGTCATATCATCTGTGAATTGCACTGCAGGATAGAGGGGACGTTACAGAGGGAATGCCGGCTCTAATGGGATTGAGAACCACTGCTCTACAATGAGAGAAAGGATGTTAGGAACTGTCCAGCCTCTCTTTTTTTCAGGCCCACAGAGGGTGGAAAGGATGCAGCCACATCTACACAACTGGTGGGTGGATTAGAACCAGGCTTCCTGAATCGTTGTCCAGCCCTACCCTAAGCCTAAATTCATCTTTCATTTTCCATAGCTCAACTTCACAGTCCAAAGTTGGACACTGCTGGAGGAAAGGAGATCGAAGCCCTCAGTGTCTAACTCCCTTGGGACATTTTTACCCTCGATTCAACCGAATCCGGTGCTCTCCTAAGGCTGCCAGCAACAGGTTTTACTCAGTTGTTTGTCGCCCCTAGCGTCTAGCGTGGGTACTGGCACAAAGCGAGCAAACTACTTACAAGATGAATTTAGTACTTTTCCAGAGAGAAACAGATCCCAACTCTTCCCACACCTTCCACCAAGCCAGTAAGGATTCCAGGTACTCCTAAATCCCAATTCTTCCATAAAGAGTCCAAATTTTGCAAAAGAGATGGAAACAGCTGAACTCAGCCTCAGGGCATGGGGTGGTGGGGAATACAGGGGTCAGATGGGAGTGGCCTTCTCCGAGTGGGCGGAGCGCATGGGTGGGAGCAGTGCCCTCTGGGAAGAACCCGGAGGGAGACTTCTGACTTTAAGCAGCCGTGTGTGTGTGTGTGTGTGTGTGTGTGTGTGTGTGTGTGTGTGTGTCTGTCTGTCTGTCTGTCTAGGGGGAGTTAATGATTTACCAGAGGCTCATTTCACAACTTACCAAGGGTCAGCTTCCCTTGGGCATGTACAAGTTCGGTCCTCTGGGCTCCTCACCCCTTGCCAGCTTCCACCTGGAAGGTCCCCCAGGCAGCCCGCAGCATGATCTCCATCACCGAATGGCAGAGTGAGTGTGAGGGGCCGGTGCTGTCGAGGGGGCTGGCTGGACCGGCTAGGGTGGGTGAAGATGCAGCCCCTCCCAGCCAGGATCTTTCTCTGGGGAACCTGCAAGGCGACCTCTGGAGCTAGTGGCTGGGAGCTGCCCTGTTGGCATCCTTCAGGCAGCACGGCCAAGGCCGGGTGCGGCTCCCTGCCTCCCAGGCGTTGGGGGGTTGCCCAGGGCCCCCAGGTAGCCAGAGGCTGGTGCCTGGAGGAACTGGCAAGTTCACCACTCAGGCTGGTCCCTTCCCCATTCAGGATTCTTAAACATGGGCTACTACAAGGGTGAACCTAGAAGGCCTCTGCCTATTGAGACATCTTTCCCCCACAAACTCTTAGGGTATCCTGTGGCCCTGGCTCCTTCTTATCAGAAACTAAACTCAAATCCCCTCCCCAAATCACTCTGTCCTCACTCCTAAATATCTTTCCCCTTTACTCAGGGAAGAGGGCAGGGAGGTAGTCCCAAGATCCAGGAGAAGTGGTGAAAACCGTGGCTCTATAAGTTTCATTTGGGTGAGTTACTTAAAGCCAATGTCTTATCTCTGAACTGGAGATAATATTCATTCATTCACTGAACAAATTTGTCTCCTTTATGCACCAAGCACTGTTTTGGGCACAGGGTATGAACAGTGAATGGAACAGACATATTCCCTGCTTATGTTCCAGAATGAGGAAACAGGTAATTAGCAGATGAAGTCAGTATGTCGTATGTCAGATGGTGATACCTCCCTCTGGACAAAAATAAAACAGGGTAAAGAGGCTTGGGAGTGCGGGGTAGGAGGGGTGACTGTTTTGTATAGAGTGGTCACTAAGCTTACCTGGGAAGGTACTTTTATACGGAGACCCATAGGAAGTGAGGGAGCAAAGCCACGCAGCTGTCTGGGGTGGGGGGGGAAATGTTCTAGGAAGAGGGGACCGCCAGTGCAAAGGCCCTGAGGCATTAGCATATTTTGGTGTGTTTGAAAAACAAGGAGGCTGGTGTGGGTGGAACAAAGTAAGGAGAGGGGAGAGCAATAGGAGGATAGTCAGGGAGGTCACTCAGAGGCCAGGCTGTGTAAGAATTTTGGTTTTATCTCCATAAGATGGGAAACTATTAGAAGGTTTTGTGCAGAGGAGTGATATGATCTGCTTATATTTTTAAAAGATCACTCTGGGTGCTGGATGGAGAATAGACAGACTGTGGAGGGGTGGGGTCAGCAACAGAGACACCAGTTCCGAGGTAAGAGGTGGTGAAGGAGACCAGTTCCGAGGTGAGAGGTGATGGCGGAGACCAGGGTGGCAGCAGCAAACTGGTGAGGAGTAGTCAGTGCTGGATCTGCACTGAGGAAATTGCTGAAAGGATTTGCTGATGGACTGGATGTGGGTTGTGAGAGAAAGAATTCAAGAATGCCTCCAATATTTTCAGCCTGAGCAATTAGAAGGGTTGAGTGGCGGGGAAGGCAGGATTTGGGTTTTAGACATGTCGAGTTCCATGTCAAGTAGGTAGTCAGGTATATTAGTCTGCAGTGGAGAGAAATTTGGGAGTTGCCAGAGTAGGGATGGTATGTAAAACCATGAGATCGCCTGGGCACAGTTTCTCAGCCTCCCCACTACTGACATTTGGGGGCAGAGTAGTTCTTTGTTGTGGGGGGAGGGGGATCTGTCCTGTCCATTGTAGGACTTTAGCAGCATCCCTGGCCTCTACCCACTAGATGGCAGTAGCACACTCTCACTCCCACTTGTGACCATCAAAATGTCTTCTTATGTTACCAAAGGTCCCCAGGGGAACAAAACTGCCAACCTACCCATCAGCCCCACCATCCACCCCAAGTTGAGAAACACTGACTTAGGGGAAAAAATAGAAGAGGGCTGAGGCCTGAGCCCAGGGGCAAGCCAACATTAAATCAAAATGTGCTAAGTTCTATGAAGAATGTGCTAAGTAAGTCCTACGAAGAGAAAAAATATGAGGGAACCAGATTAAGTCGGGAACAGATAGTGGACCAGGTTTCCCTGAGAAACCGACATTTGCGTTGAGACCTGAAGGAGTGTGTGTTGGGCAGAGAGCAAGTGGGGAGAAACCGCATGTACAAAGGCCCCGAGGCAGGAAGGCTCGTCATGGAAACAATGATGTGTTTGGAGTATGGCAGGCAAGGGCAGAAGATGAAGTTGGACAAGCAAGCCTAGGCCCCATCATGCAGGGCCTGTAAGCCAAGGCATGGGTGGGAGGACTCTATTGCATTCTAAGCCAGTGGGAAGCCATGACGGATTGTATGCTGTGCTAATATGAGCGGATTACATGTTTTCCAAGGCCCCTGACTGCTGTGTGGAGAAGGGATAAGAGGGTGGCAGGAATGAAGCAGGAGACTAACTGGGGGATGTCGCAGGAGTCCAGGAAAGAGAAAATGGTGGCTTAGAATTAAGTGGTAAGAGTGGAGAGAAATGGACAGCTTTCGAGATACATTTAGGAGGAAGAAGCAATAAACCTTAGCTGTGGACTGAATGGAGGAGGGGTGCTAGGAACAGTGAGGGAGACTCAGTGATGGCTCTTGGGCTTCTGCCTCGAGCTGCTGAGTGGGTGGTGATGACGTTTCATTCATTTGGGGAAAACTGTGCCAGGTGCAGCTTTAAGGAAGGAAAATCAATAGCTCAGTTTGGACCTACTGAGTTTAAGATGCCTTGGAGAGAGAAAAACATGCAGATATGCCAAGTAAGCAGCTGGATAGGAGTTTGGAAGCTCAAAGGAGGCATGGACTAGAAAGATAAATATCAACACTGTCAGCACACAAGAGATACTTAAAGATGTGTAAACTCGTGTGAAACTAGAATGAGAAGAGAAATGAGCTGGAGCTGAAGTCCTGAGCAATTCAAACCCCAAGAGAAGAGAAAGAAGTGGGAGCTAG